GAATGGACTAAAATTTGAAAGACATGTATTTGGGTTTTGGAATAGAGATTTTTTTTTTTTTCAGAGAGGTTTTTGCCATAGGGCGCGTGTGCTCTAAGAGAGTGACAGAGTGAGAGAGAAGGAGAAAGTGAGAAAGAAAGCCACCAGGTCCAGGACTCAAACAAGGGCTGGGCATGTGGGAGTCCAGCACTCTAAACCACCCAACAAAGATACCCTAATCCTTACCCCTGAAATCAGTGAATGCACGATGTTAAATTCTACAAACAAGGACTAGAGAGAGGCATCTAGTAGCACAGTCTCTGGCTGACAGCTAAGAAACAGGATCTCAGTCCATCCACTGCAAAGAAGCAAACTGAGGAACAACCCTTGTGAGCAAAGAAATGGTTTCTTCTGGAGTCCACAGTAATGAAAGCAATACTTCAAACACCTTGATTTTTGACTAATGAAAACAATCTGATCCTGTAACATACAGAACTATGAGATAAAAAATAGGTAGTATTCGTTTTTTGGAGAGATTTTTGCTATAGGGCTCGTGTGCTCTCCAGAAAGACAGAGAGAGACAGAGGGACAGAAATCACCCTCCACAGGGGATGGCCATGCCACAATCCCTTCTCCATTCTCCTCTCATGATCTTGGACATCCACGCACACACACCTGGCATGAGTTTAAGCCACTGAGTTCAGTACTCGAATTGTGGTCAACTGCATGGGAGTCCAGCAACATAGCTATTACGACAACTGTTGGTCCCCAAATAGGTAGTATTTAAAATCATTAAGTGAACAGTAATTTGCTGCTGCAGCAGTAGAAATGTAAAGAAAGAGTCTTCAAAACACTCATTAAACAATGGAATTCAAAGATAATATGATTCAGGGCCAGGAGGTGACATAGTGGTTAAAGTACTGGAATCCCACATGGTCAACTGTGATTCAAATCCTGTACCCAAAAGCTTCAAATTCATGTAGGGTGCATGCACCCTTATACGCTCTTATAGCAAAAATCTCTATTTAAAAAAAAAAAAAAAAATGGAACCAGCAGATGGCATAATGGCTACGTTGCTGGACCCCCATGTTGTCGACCGTGCTTCAAGTCCCGAACCCAGTGACTTAAAATTCACGCCAGGCATGTGTGCATGTGTGTTGAAGATCATGAAAGAGAAGGGATTGCAGTGTGGCCACCCCCCGTGGGGGATGATTTCTCACATTCTTTCTGTTCAGCAAGCACATGTGCCCTATAAAAAACCACTCTTAAAAGGATAATAATTCTTCTCCTAGCTTTTTGAAGCCCTTTCATACACTGTTATGATAAGATCCACCTGGAGAAATAGGAAGGAAGATTGCAAACGGAGGAGCCCAGTGTACCGACTGCTCAGGGCAACCACTGGGCTTTAGGCACCCTCCCATTCAACCGGTACCACTGCCCCAGACTGTTGCCTTCCGAGAAAAGTTTAGGATCATGTGGAACATGGAGAACTTATTTGACTTGAAGTTTGCTGCAAAAGAACTTA